GGGTGTTTCATGTGAACAGATGGTTAACAGTCGATATGATTCTCAACAACAAATATACAATTCAAATCTCAGCCATGAGGACTGCTTTGTCAGTTTGAGCTGCTAATGAATTCATTTATTAGCTGAAATGCTCTTCCATCGGATTGTGTCTGAGACGCCTGCGACGGGGCGATCCAGGCTCAAACAGAATCTCTTTTGATCTCCTTTCGATGATATCGAAAAATCGTCATAAATGAAGTTATAGCCTCGAAGCAGACACTGGAAGTGAAGACTATCCATTCCACAGTTTCAGCTCAATGGGAATCTGTGTTACGTAGAGTTAGGGGAAGCCTTAATGGATATGGAGCTGGGCAACAGCGTCGATGAAAAATAATTGGTGACGCAGTTCTGCAAGCAAGAGCCATGCAAACCATTTGACCAGAATCCAGCCATCTTGGCATTATGTCCTATTCCTGAAATTTAAGAGGTTCTCCAGGGGTTTGGCCGTCGTTGCGTGGAGTTTTCTTACAAGTTAAGTGAGACAAAAGTAAGTAAGTGAATAAATAATAAAATATAGAATTGAAGTGTTTGAAGGAATGAAAGTAAGATTCGGGTACAAACAAAAGTTTCGAAGATTTTTTTTTGAAGAGAACCATGCTGTATTATCGTCAAGCATCTTGTAAATAAACTTGTTTGATGAAGAGAATGGCTAAAAATGTTACCCGTATTTCTTTGTAACCATGTAAATTACCAAGTTTCGGAATGTAATAGCTTAGTGTATAATTAGCAAACATTATATGGTAAGTCAGAACTTCACTTCTATCTGCGAAGTTTTGTCAATTTTTGCGTTTGCCTTCCACTTCTTCTGTTGTTTTAAGAGGCTATGTTGATGTGCAAAAGATTTTTCCTTCTTTATTAAACTCGGCAAGAGCGTATCAACAACGATGGCGACGTAAACCAGCGCATTGATGATTTCTCCCTAGTTGTCCAGCACTCACACATGCTCCATGTGATCGAAGATGATACGATTCGAGGTTGACGGCAGGTTGAGACCATCCCATACGAGAAACTCTGAGCTGCAAGCTTTATTGGAAAATACCGTACATGCACGTATCAGGTTTTGTGACTGCGACCAACTTCTGCATCTCCAATGTCGACAACAGAACATTGAACTGATCACATCCTTTAGCAAACACGTTCCCTTCCTGCATTTTCATAAACTGAAATCCTCTTGGTTGCTGAAACTGAAACTGTAATCTCAGTAGTCACAGAGATCAGCCCCAGCTCGAGACATGTAGTGTTTGCTCGGAATCACCACCCAGTTGCCGTTAGACGCTTTCCAGGTGAAGTGAAAACATCTGTCTCACAATATTATGCTTTCGATTCATGGTTCGGCTGCAGGGTCGACGCCTTCTTGTCGCAAGTGAGGCCTCAATTGTGAAGTCCTGCTGCATTGAAAGCCCCCGAAGGCTCTTCTGTAGTGAAAGTTTTTTGACGGCGAAGGAAACCCTGAATAGCAGGAAGAGATCGACAGGGATTGAACTTTCTGAGATCAGCAAAATATCCTCAATAAACCATTGCAATTCCACCGAGTAGTACATAATAAGAATTATAATTATATTTGCAATTAGGGCATTTAAAAAAAACCAAACCAAACCAAACCAAAAAGAAAGAAAATCCCTTACAAGCTGTATTGCAGATGTTTCACTTGATTCGTGTCGTTTAACTTTACCATAATTTTTAATTAGATTTAGAACACAATTCTAGTTAAATGTAAAACATAATACAGAATTCTTGGGTGTATTTTTAGTTCTCTACCCACTGTTTTTAAACACTAACTTTTCTTTCTTGTAAAAGAAACATTTTTATTTCCATATGAAGGATACACACACACACACACACACACACATATATATATATATATTTATATATATATATATATATTCATGCTATATTATCTAAGTGAAATTAAATCACTTGCACTACTTCAATCAATATCATCCTCCAATCAGTCTAGTACCACAGTGTAAGATTATGCAAGTTCTGCACCATTTAAGCCATCTTTTGAAAGCCTCAGGTTAAGCCCTTCACCTCCCTGGTTCAGACCAGTCCTGAACTTCAAAGACAAACGATGCAGACCTCAAGACACATCTGAGATGTGAAGAGAGAGCAATCCCTGCGATCCTCAGTGATGTTGCAGACCAGAGGCCAAGAGACTGGTTCTTTCGCAACCCTGATTATGGTGCTTCAGGATCGATGCCGAAGAAGTCACTCGGATGGTTTGCCCAGCGCCTTATCAGGTCCTTGTCGATTCACCGGACGCATGTTCAGAACTCCTTAGAAGTATTCGTGCATCGTCAAGTTGCAGGAAGTGGTAGAAGATCAGAAGCTTGCGCTGTAAAGTGCTGCAAAGGTCGAGCACTGGTACAGAACCCCGGTCATGAAGCACTGTCAGTCTGATTTTGGTTTCTAACGCAAATAAACCCACTGGTTGCAATTGCGTGGAGTCGAGACCATTGCGAGGTTGATCGAATGCTTGAATCGGCATCGCTAATTGTGTGCACACTGAAGAAGTTCGATGGGTCTAGACATGAAACCGTGTGGGTCTGGTTCGAGGCCATAGTGTCGGTGGTTACCTGTCCACTCGGCCTTAGCTGTTGGTGAGTCCAAGGTTTCTACAGAACACTAAGTATTTTGCTGATTGTTAATAGAACTATGTTAATTGAATATTAAATTCTAGGTTCATGTTTTCATATTCTTCTGAAAATATCTGTGCATTGTCAGTGACAAAGTTACTGAACTCTTTGAAATTTTTGTAAAGGTAGTTGTGATAAAAAACACTTCAGATTTTTGTTTACATTTTTTTTGTATATTTTTATTAAGTAATTGGTTTATTTATTTTCGTTGCCAACAAATTTGGATGACAAGCAATATGATAAAATAGAAAAAAAAAAAAAAAAAAAAAAAGAATTAGTTAGAAAACCAGAATGCTACATAGTGGTTTAATTACATGTGCATTAGTTGTGAATAAATTACATAAGTTAGTTGTAGAATACTTATTAATCTAGTTGTCTCATGCATGCTCCATACCTAGTGTATCAAGACATAAGACATGTTGCTATTTTTTAATTCTTCAATCAATTTTACATTTACTTAGTGCATTCATGCATGCATGCATCGTTGTTATTAATATTTATTAAGAAAAAAATAAAATATCTGACCAAGGATTGAACACGAATCTTGTAAGAGAACATTGCGGTTTGAGAAAATTTAGCGGTAATACTGAAGTGGAGGAACGCATGCATGGAATAAGTATGGGGCCCTGTAGCCATCACATCGACAATGCCCTCCTCGGGAATCTGCACACAACGGCAACTGTAGAAGAATATCTGAAGTGCATATTTAACCCACTTCGGAATCCTCCGCAACAGATATCATCTGGATACCCGGAGATTTATCAGCATTGTCGATCTTGCATTGCACTGAGACACCACTGTCGATCTTGCATTGCACTGAGACATCACTGTCGACCTTGCATTGCACTGAGGCATCAATGTCGATCTTGCATTGCACTGAGGCATCATTGTCGCCGCGGATCCCACCCGTCAACGCCGATGCCGATGAAACAGTGCCAGTGGAGAGGGCTCCTGCAGGCATCTTGTGAGCTCGATATGCAGACACGGATAGCGGGGGCTCAACGCATGGGTTTGACCCAATCCACAACGCCCACGGTGATGTTCCCCGTCGTGTGGCCGAACACCATTCCCCTCCCGGCGTGGGGGTGCATCTGCACACGACCCCAAGAAGCCTCGCACTGCAGGTTTGTGGAGATCGATTCCAAGATGTGATAGATATCGACATGGGGAATTGTGCCTGATGGAGTTGGAGTGCGGTTCGTGGGCTGGCGAGTTCACTTAACCTGGATCGGAGACAAACCGCGCTAATAGAGAATAGTAAAGCTCTGACACGATTCGTCTTCGAGGCGAGTGACATGCACACGCAGTCTAAATTCTCCCAAGATGGCTTGTGAAAGGTGCGTGGGGCAGCAACATTCCACTACTCTTTCAGGAATACGCGGAGTCCGATCTCCTTGCCGCGGCAGATGAGGCAAACTAAGGTTGCGTGAGTTGCGCGGCATTTCGAAGCTATAACTAGGAACGTTCATTTAAGCTGGAGTTGACATGAAAACGTTTGAATATTCTTCATTCCTAGGATCTGTTAGGATTACATTAATCATTCCAGTGTCTACACCACCAAAACACTGGCCTCCGTCAACTTAGACAAGAAGTGAAGAGGGGGGTTAACAATCAAAAGTTAGCGTCTAATTCCGCCGTCCGTGGGACTCGAACCCACGACCACGTGGTTAAAAGCCACGCGCTCTACCAACTGAGCTAGGACGGCTCAATGCTTCAAGATCTTCGCTTTACATATCTATATACATATATATATATACATAGATATTTAATTAAAGACATGACGCGTTGTATTCGCGTCTGCAGAAGTGGTACGTGACCCTCGATTTGTCAAGGGAACCTTTAAAATCCACGTTGCCAGTTTACTCTTTGTCGGATTACGCTTACGTCGAAGAATCATTGCATTTCATAAGGAAACCTTCGAAGTGGAAGTCATGAGTTTTACGTCAATGCTTACCTTTGAAGTCAATGTCTCATTAACAGATTTAAGATCGAGGTGGAAGAAACGTTGACATTTGTGCTTTGGACCCTTCGTAGGCCGTTCATCTCTTCCATACGCACTCGTGCCAAAGGCGAAAGGCAGCGCCACGGACAACCAAGGTTTCGAATAAAAATTTCCTCTAAAGTAGACGCTGCATCATGAATAAAAATAACAATACAAGTCAGTCTCTACTCTCAACTCCGTCAGCTAAGTCTTATGGGCCCTCGGTCCACAGGACTCTCCGATCTCTTCAAGGACTTGGGGATTAGGAAGTGGAGAATTGTTTAGCAAACATTCGAATGATACCGTAACATTAAGACCCCTGTATAGCCAGCGAACTTTCTGTATTAGAAAAGTAAAGATCGAGTTTGATTTTATTTTGGTGAAAATTGAAGCCAAATCATAAAGAGCGGTGAACAATGATGCGTGCTCAGTGATTTCAGCGAGTGAATATTTTGCTGTGCTCAATGAGTGAATTGCAATGAGTGTTTTTGACTTCTCTGGTAAAGGGATCTTAAGTGGCATCCTCCACTCTATATCGAGGGAGAGAAAACTTGGCGAGTTAGGTGTCACGATCGACGAATTATGCGTCCTTAAGTTCATGATCATTCAATGCTTCGATTTTTTTTTTTTAAAAAATGTTTTGTTTTTGTTTTTGTTGTTGTTTAGTTCTTCTTGCTAATTATTGTTTTTTTTTTCTGTTCACTGGAACCCAATTATACTTCAGCAGTTGTGGGCGTTCAATTGCTACTGCTTACCCCCTAGACCAAATGTCCTAGAAATTGCAATGATTGCAACCTTGGTCATTGGTGCTGCCTCAAGTCTCACGCTGTCCGCTTCTTGGCTGACTTCAAATTCACGTGTCCTTTTTCGAGCTTGTGCTTCTTCTGAGCATCCCCAAACCCCAGCATGTCTCCGAAACGCTTTCGGATTGTTACTTTCTGCATAAACGTTGAAGCGATACGTACACGTCAGTGCCCTCCTTGTCTCAGATGATGCTGCCTTGCCACTGAAGTGATTCTGGCATTACATTTTACAATCAATTAAGGATAATTTTTAGGCTCGGAAGTGTTCATTGAGCTGCAGTATATTTACAGGCACTTGCGATACAACACTCACATCCGAGTCCCATGTGCATGGAGAGTCGTTTCTAATTTTCTCACGTATTTCTCTCACCAAATCATATGCTGCTTTTATTTACCCAGAAACAAGACAAACTGTTTGATGATCAGATGTCAAAAATTGTACAAATGGCTGCTCGGAGAAGGCATGTACCTCTAATTTGGGTTTACCACCTTTCGTAGGAATCCATTCTGGAAGTTTCCTGAGGAAGTCACAGTGTAAGAAATTAGGCCTGAACAGTTACGTTCAATTTGAATCGTTGGCTAACAGCTGTGGACCAGCTTGGATAGAACCAGCATTGGAACAAACTTTAATACTATCTCTAAACTAGTGTCTTGTTATGCTGAGCTAATTGAAAGTCTTGCCAACTTCACTAGAGTTTAACACACCAAACGCCGTGGCTCTAAGCTATATTCTGATCTATACATTTAGATCAGGGAAATTCACGGCCGGTAGTAGGTTACCTATATTGCCAGCTGAACGCCAGTCGCGGGGAGGTACTCAATGCACAGCAGGGCAGCTTGATGCTGTAGCACAGAAAAGATGGCTGCTCACGAAGTATCATCTCTCCAGGAGGCCAGTGTATACACTTCACATCTTCCTGTTGGTCGAGGGACCAATACTCCAGCTTCTGTACGCTGATCTTGAAGTTACTATGGTTGAGGAGAGCAAAAATGACATGCCAATAAGGTTCCTCCCCTTCTGGTTCACAAATTTTGGCTCTCATGGTCATTTCCACCTCAACAAGTTCCTCGTCTCTGGAGCATTCTTCCACAGATTTGCTCTCAAACTCATATTTGACTCCAGCGTTCCCACAGACAGGGGAGTGACACATATCATGCTCATCAAATTTCTGGACTCCTCCATTGATGTCTGTGTTGTTAGAGAAAGCCTGCATTCTTCCAGGACACCCAGGTCCAGCATTTGGGGGTAAACGTTGTACTTCAGTTGTCTCGGAACCATTCTCCCCAGTTAGCGAAGCTGATGATCCATTGGCGACCATGGCAAGTCGCAAATCAGCATCGACACTATATTTGGTCTCTACTGCCTTAGTTGAAGCATCATGTTCACCATCTGAACTCGCTGAATAGTATTCATCAACTGTAGAAATCAATTCATGAGATTGAGTGACGTCCTCGGCAGCATCGTCCATAAGATTTCCTATTTCTTTCATGCATCGATTAGCGTCAAAGGTTGCCGTGGATTCACGATCGGCTGGAGAACTGCACTGTGAAGGGTCATTGGATTCTCGTCTTCCAACGTCTCCAGGTACCTCAGGAGGAAATATGGAATGGTTTGGCCCTTCATCCAATGGTAATGTGGAATATTGACCTTCGTTAGGTGCAGACTGCGCTTGGATAGAAATGAAGAGTGGCTTTTGGGATGAAACACAAAAAAAATTCTCTGCAATCGACGCTGGCAAGGAATTTTCATAGGCTTCGGGAATTGCAGAGGCCGTGTCCTTCAGTGTGGTGGTGTGTGAGGTTCCTGAAATCTTAGATTGTCCATCCGGTACTTCGATTCTCACAGGTACTACGATGGTGGGAAAGCATGGCTTCTGGCCAGAAATCGTTGGGAAAAGCTCACCTCTGAGGGGAGAGGACTCGCTCTGAAGTGGACTTGAAAAACACTTAGTACTAATTTCAGTAGCCTACATTGCGTGCCAAACAAGTCAGGTAAGTAGGATGATCACTGAGGTTGAAAGAGCCTCAGTGAGAGAATAGCGAAGCGCAAAATATTTTTAACTCGAACTAGTGCAGCAACCAGGGAGAGGATTCAGAGGACCATATTAGACTCCAGTTTCTGTGGAGATTAGACGCACAATTCCGTCAAGTGTTTCAAACAACTTTGACTTTCCTCTTTTGGAACGTAAAAAAATTATTTGCACGTGCGTGATACATAACTTACATCCATGTCTTGGTAATTAGCTCTTGACATTTTGGATATTACGTCTGCAGTTTCGTCCTTGATACAACCTTCGGATTGCTGAACAGTATCCTCGAAAACAATTTGAAGAATATCAGCAGTCAAACCATCTTGGTTAATTTTCATTTGTCGCTGAGCATGTACGTCTATGGATTCCAAGTTCAGCTCCTTCCTGGTCACGAAGAAGGAGTAAGTCGAGCAGAGGGGAAAGAAGGATACCGACATTTATGATCAAAACGGGGTCTCCTTCAAGTAGTACATCTCACCAGGCATATTCAATGTGCTGAACAAGGATGCTGTCCACCTTCTTCTCCAGGCTGATCATGAAGTTTGAGTAGGCATCTGGAAGTTACATACCATCATGCCTTCACAATGTTCATTCAGAAGGCAATTCGCAGATATGAACATCGCCACACAAAAACAATACGACATAAGCAGATGGAATAATTCGCAACAACCATACACTGTCGAAGATGGTTTGTTTATTGCCAACAGGCACTAAATTAATCCTCCGATGCAAAAAGGAACTGATAACTTTTTTTTTGCATGAGTCGAGCCTGTATAAGGTATTCTATGCTTTGAACTTGGTAGGAACAGTTTACCTCCAGTGGAACGCTTCCGCGCCAGCAGCTCGAGACACCGTTTGCGGAGTTCTATGAGAGTTTTTGTGTCGACATCCAGTATCGCTATCAAGTTTATGACTGACTGTTGAGTAATTGGAGAAGCATTTCGCCAATCACTACTTAGACTCTTCAGCTTCGACAAGATACTGTAGTTCAATGGAACGGTGAAACGATGAGAGATATTTTGTATAGAATAAATATTTGGCAACACAAATCCTAGAGTACATAATGATAAAACAAACGCACCTGCGGCTGCACAGGGGAAAAGGATTCTTGTGCGGTGCCGACCAAATAAGTTCCTGTATGCTGTGAAACATTCAAGAGCAAAAGCTGTCGTGAATTATTCTGACAGAGAATAGAAGGAACACTTACATTATGTTCAGATTTCTGCTTAGATTGAGAATCCAGAGTAGGTCGGAGTTCTTCTGGATAAAAATAGGCAAATAAAGACACCAAATATGTTCCGAAACGTACACGATACACAGGAGTACACCATTCAATCACTAGCCAAGAAATTGAAAATTTTCAAAAGGCAGTCAGATCACTACTTCCAATATTAAACGGGAATTTTCCGACGAAACACAAGAGCAAGGCGATTGACGCAGATAAATGCGATCAACAAACACAGAGGATATCAATCGATTCTCACAAGGAAAATTCCCGTGTGATCAAGTCATCTAAGCACCGAACTCTGTCCATGTTCATTCCCAATCCAACTCGCGAGCTCCCCCACCAAGACGGTCAGTGGCATCAGATACAGGCAAACGCCGCAAAAAACCATGCCACGAATTGCAGCCACAACGAGACCCTCATCGATACTTGAGCTACTCGTCACTCTGAGTGCAAGACACTGTCCGCACACAAGCGCCACTCAAGCTCAAATCCTGACATCGCCGCTGTGAATTGGCGCTGTGGCAACTAACGCGCGCTCAAACATCGACACTTTCTCGTGAAGTTCAAATGGAATTAGAAGCACCGCAACTACACCAGTATGGTGCCGAGGCAGTTCCTGAAATCTATGATTGTGGTAGATACACTTGAATCCATTGACATCACCCTCTGAACAGATAAGAACTACAGAACCCCTAGATTTCTGAAATCCTAAATTCCATGCCATGATTTTTCAAGCATAAGCCATATTCTTTCGGTTGATTAGTGGTCAAATAAGAGAGGTATTTAACAAAGATTCGGAGGTTTTTGATGCGGATAAGTTGCTGGCATGAGTTTTCGTGCGGGATGGAATCGAAACATCAAATTTGAGCGAAGAAAAATCTCTTCACAATAGAATACAGTGAAGAGAGCACTCCTGCAGGTAGCTGATAGAGGGATTTGATAAGTCATTCCAAATCATGGTTCAAAATGAGTGTTTCGTTTACAAGATAAAAGTCGACTCGTTTCTGTCAGATTGACAACTTGATTGAATGACACAAAAGAATAAAAGTAATTGATTACTTCAGTAACAACTAAGTGGGCAGAAAAATGGAATAGGTCAAATGGGACAGTTTGAAAACCTAACATGATATGAAGATTGACGTAAGATGAAATTGATAGAATTGTGTGTTCGCGTTAAGATATGGTGATACAGTAAAAATAATTTAGGATCTTTCATAATCTGTTAACACGGTATAAGAGGTTGATGGATAGGCTGATCGACCTGGTTACAATTCGTCAAGAAAGGAATAAACACTGTAAGCAGAAGAAAAATCAATGAGAGAGGGGTGACCCTGCATCATGTGACCAGTTATAACACCAATCCAAAGCCCATCTGCTCGCGCCACTAAGCCTCCACTGAAGCCGGTAGGGGTAGCGATAGAGCCTCCTAATCGACCCTTCGTAAAATCGATCTCCAGAATCTCCATACTTCCAGCTTCCGTTATTATCCCGGGTCGGACCCTAACGTCAGCTATTTTCCCCACTTCCGACTCCCAGGGCTCCTCGTATCTGCACAAATTGTTCTTATTAAAGAACTGAACAATTTTTATCTTACGATTCAACTTCAAATTATTCTTACAGATCTGCGACGGCGGTAAAATATGAAGGTGTAAGACATTTACATACAAATCTATATCTGTATATGTAAATATATATATATATATATGGCGGTATATATGGTTTGAAATGGACACCCAAAAACATAGACTTGATCTCCTCGCTCGGCGTCCACACATGCTCGGTGGGGAAGACTAGCCGGGCCAGCGACCATGCTCAGGAAGGCTAGCGCAAAAGTTTTCTGCCAAGGGCGAACGCTGAAGAAAACTAGCCCAAATGCGGTGCTAGTTAGCATCAGCTTTGCCACTTGGATCTCTCCTTTGCAGTCTTTTATAGCGATCTCCCATCGACCCTCTACTGTGTTCACGCTCGTTACCCAGGCCGACTTTCGGCTTTTGGAATCAGTGGGTATGAAGAGAACAGCAGTTCCCAAAACAGCTCCCGTCTCTCGGTCAAGCACCATACCACAATAATGTCGAACATTCAACCACACAAGGTCCTGCAAATACGTACCGGGTATGGGTTGAGTAAGTTCTGACACTTACCATATGTTTTGTGGAACAACCAATAATATAACTAACGACAAACTAGATAAATACAAAATCAACCCTACGGTGCTGCACAGTTACAAGATGCTCATCAATCATTGAAAAAATTATCACACTTGCGACTAAACCCTGACGTACTTCACGAAGCCTACAAACACACACCTCTGGAGATATAACATGGCGACATCTCTCTGCTCCATGGGTTTCAGGGAGACTACGTGAGGTTACAGGGGTAGAATCCTGAAAACAGAGAGGATAAAACATGATGAGCTCGATGAAAAGCACGTAGAAATCAATAAAGGCCACATGCAATCCCGAAATTTAATCAGCAAAATACGTCAGAAATAATCATAATAGCTTATGATTGACTCGTGCATGGAAAAGGTGGAAAAAAAAAAAGAACGTTTACGAATTCAGGTGATTATATTCACCACATAAATTTGGTTGCACGGCTTGATCGTTGCTTAAAATGCTTGCAGACGTATGACCTTAGAAACTTACTTGGATTCTCTGTCGCTCCTCCATGCGCTGCCGTAAATATGCCTGTCGACCAATTGAAGCAAATTTATAATTGGCCCGAACTTCACGCACAGATCCATCCTCCGATCCGAAAGAGTTTAAGGAACTTCTAGAATCCTCTTCAACCGAGGGTTTTGGTAACTCATTGAGATCAAGGGATTGGGCGGGTTTCGTACGACCCTGCTGAGGACGAGGAGGATTATGGGAAGCTGAGGGTGGACCAATTGATTGCGCTCTTGTATAATTAATACCAAAACCAGCATGTGGAGTAAGGGGTGGTATATTCCTCGCGTCAAAACTCCGTTTCAATGATAAGCTTGGCAACAAATCATTAACATTAGACGCATGAGATCCACTGCAATCAGTAGATGCTGTCTCCAGAGATAGAAAATTTAATTGTTTCTTCTCGGTCCTCTTTCCCTGTACATTTTGTAAGTAACAAAAACACCCAAAAGTCAGTACATCAACCATCAATGATACATACAGAACCTCAAACTTATACGGCAACAACTAATCATGTTCGTGAAAGATTTCAATGACTAGACCATGACATCACCACTTCACAAAACTGCTAATCAAATGGTAATTAAAGAACCGTAAAAATATTGTGATATACTAACGTGATCATAAAATAATAGGTTATATCGAGGTCCTAAATCTTCTGGCCACCACTATCGCCACAATGCTTCAGCGATGCACCTATCATACGGTGGGCGGGAACTTATTCAATACACTTCCCAATACCTCCATCTCGAATCACATGTTCATCCCATGGAAAAGGATAATAATGCAGGTGCTAATGCAAGTTCGTTCTGAGAATAACAGTTGCTTACATATCTAGACAAATCGCAAAAGCGTTTAACAGGAGGACCTCCTCCGCTCTCATTATTGTAGTCGTTATTTTCGTTCGACGCTCGCTCATCGCGAGTGCAGGCATATGCCGTTGAATTTGAGTAAGGGCCATCATACACTCTACTGGAACAAGGATTGCTTGTAGCAGCTGAACCAGAATGATCCAGATTTCTCTTTCCACATCCAGGTTCGTTAAAAGAAAGGCTACCAGATTCTGTGCAATGGTACTTTCCCCGGGCTTCTTCTAGTAACTTCTTGTGATCTAGATGGATATTGAAAGATCCAGTTGACTCTTCTGTATTCTCAAATCGACGACTGTATGTAGAACCGAAGCTTGAGGTCTGGTTATTGTCCAATTGAACAGCACCAAACTTGTCAGTTGAAATAGTGACTGCTCCAAAGCTATCAAACACGACGGGCGGCTTATGCGAGCCATCTGCCACAGGCCGATGGTAACTACTAACTGGTGGTCTCGATAGAATATAGCCTGGAGCCTTCAAATTACTGATTGAAGGCTGTTCGTCGATCACACGGATTCTTCGTTTCCCTATGTTTTCCTGGTCAAGTATTCACCTTTGCAACGTAAGTAAACTGTACAACAAAGGCCTCCAAATATAATCATAGACTACAGGATGCTTCATAAATGTTGTCTATGCACGTTCCAATGTCAACCGAAACAATCTTGCCTCAGCACACGATGTTACAAGAAATTATTGCAAAACCACACCGCACAATTCAGTTGGATGCCTAGTTGCAGAAAAATAGCTTGACACAATCCGAACGAACTAAAATGTCAATCACTTTTCAACTCATACTCAACTAACAATCATAAATGCAGTGATGCAAAACTTAAATTTTCATGTCTTTCAACAGTGATTTACGACAATTGATCCTACTTGTGACCAAGATTATTCAGGAGGTTGCGTGTTGTTAACAGTGGGTTGGGTTGAGGAGTACCTCAGGATACAATTCCTCGTCGCGGAAGTTCATTTGATGGGAGCTGCTTGTGCTACCAGTTTCTCAGGACTTTATGCTTACATTGCTTCTACATACACATCGGCGTCGTCTCCTGTAAGTTGCCGTACCATGGACCCATATAAAATAATCATACTCTTGTCCACAGCTACGCCGAAGGCACACCTCCAAATTTTCAAAAATTGGCGGTAGCTTGTACGGAAGTGACGATGACGTATCAGATCACAACGAGAATAGCTAGGCATGAATCAGGACTTGGGATGGCAGGCCCTCGAGCAGTAGTTTTTCAAATGCTACCCTGTAATTTGATGCTCAATACTACGAAATTGGTACGATTTACGTTTGAGCTTACAAGACACTTCATGTAGGGTTCAAGATATTGTGGTATTTCGGGAATGAAAAAGTGCCTGATGCAGTCTCAATTTAAAGAATAGCCAGTGAATAATCTAGTTTCACCCATCCAAATGACTGTCGGGAGCAGACAAGAGGTAGAATTAGTCAAGCTGCTATGAAGACAGCTATCGTACAATGCTCTTGGAATCTTTAATTTCACTATGGCAACCAACTTTAATTTTTTAATTCATTCAAAAAAATACATGAAGATCTTATTAAAACTTAACTTTTGTCGAAAATGCCTTCAAACGGAAGTCAGATTTTCTTGAGGATTTGGTGCTTACCGGAGTAGAAAACACATTTCTTGCAAAAGGTTAACTCCGACTCCTGCACAAAACACAACCCAGAAGACTTTTCAGTATCTCGAAGCTCCACTAACTTTTGAGAAGAAAAATACAAGATCTACTCCACTTGCAACTGTCAGAATATAAAAAGTGACATTTCAAGAAATTCATCAATTGAAAAGCATCCGCAAGCCCACGTACATTTCGCATGTCTCAATACACCGAAAATATGATGCAATGTTGGAATGTTAAGGTTCTGGATTGTGAAAACGAATTTTAATTTGAATATGTACGCATTAAATTGAATCCCAATTGGGTGACCAAGTATATTGTATTTCTCGCTAACTCCTACCTTACCAACAAGAGTCCAACAACATAGTCCCATTTTTTTCATTTTCGAATGTCTGCCAAGTACATCGTACTTGTAGATCTGAATGACTACAAGCTTAAATTTCATTGATCTATATTGGATTGTACAAAGCTTAGAGAAAAAACTACAGTCAGTACAAATTAACTTGTGGAAATGATCAGTACTGAAACTATTCAGACAAATCGACATCGAGGAGCCCAGGAAGCAAAAGCTTGACGTCACCAATATTCAAGTTCAAAGAACGTCCAAGTTCTCTACCATCGGTGCCTACATCAAAATGTCTACTGGAGAAGAACAAGTCAATAGACAATGCTCATTTGCCTGCCAATTAATGTAAAGAAAATCAAACGACATACTCCCAAGGTCTTCAAAAGATAGGAAGGGATCAGCGGGATGAGGCGGGGGAGGGAAGTAAACGAAGTCGGAAGATCAATAACCAAAAGCAGCAGAAGCGTGAAAAGGAGTATCTTGCTCGGCTTAGCCGCGGCGACTATTATTTGGGAAGCACCTTTACTCAGACTGCAGATACATACGTAAGAAGTAGGACATAAATCCATACTCCTCCTGGTATAGCGATGTTTCCGACCTGGATGTGTCCAAATCATTCCTTCCAGTTTTGAGAATAATACCGTGATACTCCCTTAAGTCGTACCCTAACCCTACCAACCGGTTCGGCTGAATTCATCATCCAGTAGCGGTGGCTGTCCTCACGCTAACGAACATAATAGAAAGAAGGAACGTTCACAGAAAGGTCTCCAGCTGGAACATAATTGCTTATCGTAAACGAGAAACTAGTTACTTATCACCAAAGATCATAGTAGCAATACCGTATCTGAACAGCACTACCGTCAAGTGTACCCACTCGACCGCCTCTCTGCTGGCATGAACTCTGGCAATCATCATCTCAACCGTCTTCCAAGCCTCAAGTACACAAATCATGACGGCTGATTCTTCAAGTTAACAAACGGATGCATTTTCTCTATGCGCTCGCCGCTTACGCTGCAGTAAAATGCGCAGCTACTCCAGGTAATGTTGAAGTCGTGCTCCGACCTCCAAGGACCACGGTAGTAGCACTAGGAATTTCCAGGAATATTAATCTTCGAACCAATTACAGTCTTCTCAAATTCTCTCACGACCGAGTGGGACCGATCGCAGAAACCGCACAAGCTTCCGCAAAGTTGCAACTTTGATGTACGAAGGTGAACCTTCAGACCTTCCGAACAAATGCGTACAACTAAACATCAATTCATGAGCATATAAATTCTAGAGCCGAGATACCGAGCTACTGCACCACATCAAAATTCCTCCGTAAGTCGAAGATTGAAGCAGATTAGCGTTTACCAGAGCAGTAGGGCGCTGCTCCTGGCCTCCAAGTTGAGCTAATCTCTTCAGTCCAATAACTCCCAAAAACCAACAAAAAGGAAAAAGTGAAAAGCATTTCTAAGGGCGTCGTCTATCTGACACTTGACCATTGTACAAGGTGAGAGTGCGTTGTACGTTTCTATATTAAGACTGTCTACTTTTCTACACCTATCCTGACATAGATCCTCTTCCCGTTTACCGCTCCCTAACAGCAACTCATTCTCCAGCTGCGAGCACCTTCCACAAACCTCCAGCCTCATATGCAAACAACACAATGTATGCAAATTTGCAACACCTCACACCTCCCCCAATGTTCTCAACACCGCACCTGTATGCATTCCCGCAAACTCTCAAAAATCTCGCCACGAAAGACCTTCGCGCAAACCACAACACGAGTGCAATCCCACCTCCCCCTTCACGTCAGTCCTAGCACCTGCAACCAAACCACTCGCAATTCACGACTCTATCCAATTTCTATCCTCGTTATCCCTCGTCGCGTTCTCTCTCAATCCCTTCCAGTCGATGCCCAGGCCGCGACAACCCCATCGTTATGTTCATGAGAAGATTTCTACGCCAAGTGTTGTATTCGTCGTGGCGATTGACCCAGACGCGGCGGGATCGACGAAAGGAAGGAAAGAAGGAAGAGGAGGGGATGGGACGAGCTCCAATTCCCGCCAGAGGGGAATTATGCGAGAGTGGGACACGGTGAGATGAGTGCGGTGGGCAGCAGCGACAGGACAGGGTGGGGGCGGGAGCGAGGAGTGGAAATAGGCGGGGGTGTTGGCCCTGGGATAAAGATAGCGTGACGGGGGGCTATGGCGGGGTCCTGGCCCATGTGGGACGACGAGTCGGCGCACGGTGTCACGTGAAGGCGGAACCAGTTTTGAAAGCACCCCCATCAATCCCCCTTTCCCACTGGTCCTCGTTCCTCTTCGACCACGTCCCCGTTCACACACACCCTGCTCGTCAATTGGCACACCCTTCATCGTCTTGTTCTTCTACTTTAGAAACATGTGAGGATCTACCTCGTCGCTATTGAAAGAAAGAAATAGGTTGCATGCTCATAGAGTCATTATTCAAGAATAACGGATGAGGTAGGATCTATGGACAGTAGGAGGTGGGGTTGTGTTCCACCTTACAGTGTTTCTATCATGTCTAGTTTATTAACTTTGGTTCATATTTTGGCAAACTAACTAAAAACAAATATTGTGTCCTTTTTAGAGTTTTTTGAATCTATATATAGATATGGGAATGTTAAATAGGTCCAAGATTTTATTAAATTATTCTAACCAGCATTAAAAGAAAAAAATTATCTTTGGATTCATTTCTCCACTATTGGATTTGCAACCAATAAAAACCAACCACATTCATCATGATTACCAAATATCATTCTATGCTTACTCTTTGTATCTAGTGAAGGACCAAATGACTTTTATGCAACAAGCTCGAGGCATCATTTTTTATTTAAAAAATCAACTATAAACATTCTTATTTTTTAACATTATTTCTAAACCATATGTGTGTGTGTGTGTGTGTGTGTGTGTGTGTGTGTATATATATATATATATATATATATATTAAATGGACTTTGAAATTAGAATTAAATATCAATAATAAAATTCACCTTTTGTCTCTGGGAATCAATGGAAAAATCAGTGAACCTGATGTTTAGGGGTTAAAAATGAAAGATATTGTTGAATGTTTAGGTTTCATTGAATTTTCATCAAAACGTGAATTGTAAATGAGAGATGTTGGGTTGTTGTTTTACCATCACTTATGACAGTGTATTTTAATAAAAGCACTGGAGATTAGTTTTAAATAGTCATTAATTTAAAATCCTTGCTATTGAGTCAATAATAATGTTTTATCACTGAATATAATTTTGAAAGACATGTGTATATATTAGTGATTCATATATGTATCCTGTAATTTAACTGTACAAAAATTTAAATATCGTGTTCAATCTCGAAAATAAATTATTTTTAAAACCTTTGTCAACTAATGATATGACCGTCATGAAAAAATTATTTTGATTATTCCAACGATGGAAACAAAAACAAAAATAAAAATAAATATGAATGATACATACGAGATCACCACAATGATTTGATGCTCTTCAATTGCAGAATCATTCAATGTATAAAAACATTCTAAGTCCTCTCTTCATTTATTGTTCAAAGTACTTTAATATACACTGATGAGATTTTAACATAATGTATGTTGTGTGCATTTGTAGGTAAAAGAATTATGCTTTAAATCAAGCCACTGCGACAGAAACAAATACTAATTTCCAATACAAGAGATATTACAATTCTTTCAAACTTCAACAGTAAACAAAGATATAAACGACAACTGAAGCTTTCTGCTCACAAACCATGCTAAAAGCAGGACAACTATAATATCTGAATATATGTACATTCCAAAAGGGAAATGTAGAACATTTTAGTATAATTCCGAATAAATTCTACAAATATCTATAAAAGCATTCACTGTTTACATACATTTATACACATATAAATAAGATTATATGACATGGTGGATCCTGGGAATGTACCATTTTGATTACGGTGTATGGGAATCTGAGACTTCATGCAGAGATAAGTATGTTACACACATGCAGTATTCGAACGAAACAGTACCATGCCCTGAAGGTCGGACTGATCACCCAGAAGATCAAGTCAGAGGAAGATCATTGTGCTCATCCTGGCCGTGCACTTCCCAGCTTTGTTCCCGTTTCCATATCCAGGGATTTCAAACAAAGGAGGTAGATTAAACCATGGAAAGATGAGATACAGAAGACAAAATTTGGGGAAATAGAAGGAAAATAAGGTAAGCCTAATGCTGCTGATTTACAACGATGGCGGCTGTACATGAATGCTACAGACCGTGTTTTTTGTCCTTCAGAAGCTTGAATGTCAATTCTCTTGACAGCACATTGGTTTGATGGAGCAGCAAAGGTGGCACGGGTCCCTGACGCCAAAGGGCTCCTTGTCAGTGGCGATGGTAGTACCTTCCTTACATCGTCTACGTTTCTCATATATATATATATATATATATCTATATTTATTTATACACACACACAAATAATTTTATTTTAAAATTAAATAATTAGTAATTTGGCCAATTTTGTGTAAACTGTGTGTAAATATAATAGTATAATAGAGGTTTAAATCATATCATATGGATAATAATATTTTGTAAGTTTATTATTATTAGAATAATATTTCAATAGAACATAGATATTACATCAAGAAATAGGTTATATAAAACTTATTGCAAACAAAAAATAATTTTTTAAAGAAATTCTAGTAAAAAATTATGCCACATTTTGGAAAATGACTTAATTTTGGAATAATAGTTATATAATTTTAGAAAAATTTCAAAAATAGACTCTCAAGATTTTTAAAGATAAGAATTTTTTTCTTTTTCTGATCCTTTGATTGACTAATAGCATTTTTTAAAGAATTTATGAAAGATCCTTGAACAAAGATGTTCCTTTGAGATAGCTTATTAAGCCTTTATACAAAAGTTCTTTTGATGGAAGGTACTCTATTAAGTAGATGTTTTATATGAGAGACTAAAAATTTAAAAACAAATGTTCACAAAAGACACTTTTAATAAAAAAATCCATTGAAAACTCCTTTGATTGTGACCAAATAATAAAATATGATGCAATGGACTTAGCAAATATAATATAAATTAATTAATTTTTTTTAAAGAATGAGCTAAATACTTTTATTAATTTAAATTGTGGAAAAAATATTTACGACAAATAATTAAAATATCTAGATTTATTTACAAAAATGTATGATCCTATTTAACATAAGAATCCTACTGAGAACTTGAACCTAATGATAACACAATTAAAGTGCCTCCATTTAAGAAACCTTTATTTAAATTTATCATCTATTTTTTCTTTTAAAAAAGACCTTGTATAATTCTAATTTTAAATATCTAATAAAAATAATAAATTTATATAAATATTATAAGTATATATTTTTTGATTTGATAAGACAAATTGAATAAGTTATAAAGGTAGAAAATAACATAACAAATCTTTATTAAGTATATTTTGATATTTATAGTTATATAATTTTTTTTTATAATTTTTAAAGAAGATTTCAAGACTTTAATAAAATTGAGTTTTATTACTTTGGGAGCCATTATGAAAAAATGGAACAAGATTTGAAGGCCATAAAAACTCTATAGCTATTTGAGTGTTTTAAAACATCATGGTAAAGTCAAAAATGAAAAAATACGAGTTTTTCTAGTAGAAAATAGGAGGACCAACAACTAATTCAATCTTGTAAGATGGGAGGTTCACAAGTTCTATATGGATTGTAGTACCTTGGATGTAGGTAGGAAGATAGGTCTAAGGCCTCGAGGCCTCTTTAAGCAATCCATATACACTATAAGAGAGCCTTGGTGAGGCTTGAATCCTTGATCTATAAGCAAGTTATCCTTGAGGTAAAATATTTTCACTTAACTTTTTAATTATTCACTTCCAATCTTTAAACTTTCATAACTTATTCATAGTAATTCGGATTTATATGTTTTTTACATCATTAAAAAGATGATAAAATTAATTTTATAAAAGTATATTTTTTAATATTTAATTTTACTTTTTATTGGATAAAAATTCAATAAAAAAATTATAGACTATTTTTATCATATACAATTGTTTGATTGCATTTATTTCACTTATTTTGTATTGTTCTTTCTTTTATTTTTGTTTATTGCATCATCTACTTTACACCACCAATTACAAGAAACTTTTAATTGAAACCATCTTATAATTTGGATTGAGGAAAAAATTCACCTCACATTGAATCAAAGAGAAGTAAGATCCAACTGTCATGGACACAGAAATATAGGCTCGAGATCTAATAAGAAGTTCAAGAAGAACTAGCAAGAATTAGATTAATCAAATGAATACAAGAACAACACTAGAGAGGTGAGCTAGAGCTCCAAGAGATGTGTTGTCGAGATTGAAGAACTCTTCAACCTCGATTCTAATATATACTCCTATTTAGGAAGCTTCTCAAGCAACTTCTACTAACTAAGAAGCTTCTAGAAGGTTCCAGAGACTTGCTTCTAGAAGGTTCTAGAAACTTGTCTCTAGAAGGTTCTGAGGACTATGTCCCTTACATCACCCCCTCTTTTAGCTTCGAGGTCTCTGAGAAGCAATGTTGTTGTTAATCAGTACCAATACAAGAAAATAAAGATCTATTGCATAACGTCTGCTATGAACTCCAATTGTTGTTCACGAGGCAAGTGGTTCATTGGCCCTTGAAGCCAACGGTAGTGGCCCATGCCTTCAACTTCTGACCAAGCATGAACTTCCGTTGTCGTGTTGTAACACGAGTATACAGTGAAAATAAAAAAAAAGGGGAATTTTATTAATATTCAGTTACCTCGAATATTGGGAGCATCAACCAACTCCAGTACAAATACTGAGTGGTCAGGTTCAGTCACTCCGTTACAGTCAGCCGGGGCATACTGAAATGCTCCATTCGATTCCAATAACGGGAGTCAGCAGGAAGAGAAGGACCAATTCACACGACGGGTTCGAGGAGCCAATTGGATCCAATTTCGATAATCCAATCCGGGTCTTCTTATCCAATATGAGACCTGAATTGGCCGGTCAACCCAATGCAATCTAATTACGGAAAATCCAGGTCTTACTACGGGTCTTAGCCAATCTGACGCGAGGACCAATTTGACCCAATTACAGGAACATCCAGGTTACTACGGGCATCTTTCCCAATAT